CATGTTATTGATTTCGTTCTTTGCGTTAATACATGATGTTTTGGGTTGTTGTACACCTGGTTAACTTAATTAACCAAACCTCATTTGTATGGCCGCAGTGATTAAAGGCATGCGTGCATACTTGAGTGAGAGTTTGCATATGCATGTAGTGGCATGTGCATGTGCATGTGCATGCATGCCTGCCTACTGGAAACAGATGCTCATTATTGCAGCGAAGTGAGTACTTCCTCCTCGGTACTCAAAAATAAAGTTGTTTTGGACAATGCTTGGATCTGGGAATATAAATCATGAATAACTTTTAATTTGTTGAGTTTAAAAATGTGAAAGCCTTATAAATAGATTTATCTTGAAAAATACTTTCATAAAAATATACATATATCACTTTTTAATAAATATTTTTATAAAAATAAGGAGTCAAAGTAATACTTTGGAGACCATATCGCTGTCTAAAACAACTTTATTTTTGAGTATGGAGTGAGTAGTTGAGACTGCTAGCATTAATGAGCTTCTTGCACCCAACAATTGCAATAGACTGAAGTGTCTGTTGCACCTAGATATAGATAATTTTTTACCCATACAATGATGGTAAGAGGGACAAATTTGTTCGTAGCAAAAAAAACTAATTGAATAAAATATGTCGTAAGTAAGTCACCCACAGTGAAACGCGGGCAGGACAAATTTGTTCGTACAAATAAAAAAGAAATTCGAACAAAATATGCCGTAAGTACGCCACCCTTCGCCGCGGGCACAAGTGGCTAGTAATATACAATGTGTTGCGACGTCAAATCATAGTAATATTATCTCTATTTTTAAATGTACAACATTGTTGACTTTTGTACAGATCAAAAAGTCAACAATGTGTTGTACCACCTGCTGATGGTGGGGAGATGCTGATCTTGCGTATGTAGCGAACAAAAAGTCCAGAAATGTACTCTTCCGCTTGAAGCAACTGATACTTGTGTACAGATCGAAAAGGAGGCTTCAAACTTGATAGTAAAAGTAAAAGAGGTTAACAAACACAGCATTTTACCGAGAAAAGTTTTTTGTGGACCAAACTCTCATTAAGCAACAATAATATTATTAGCACTATCAAGGACAAATGACAATGGCAAGGAAATACTTATAGTACATATGTATTTACCAAAAGGTTTAGGAACTGGGTCTGTGTCGTTGAAAGAGTTAAAAGGAACTAACAATCAGAGTCTTGTATTGTTAAATGGTGCGGAAGATACTATGAAGCAATCATGGATGGAAAAACTATTACTTGCTACGGAAGGAGTCGCGTTGCAGGTGTACTATGCAGTAGGAGTGATCTGAAAAGAGCATATAGTCTATGCAATCCTTAGGTGAGACCTGAAACAGCAAGAGTTGTGTCAGGGAACAACTAATTGTAGGGAGATGATGTGAAAAGGCAGCTGGTGGAAAGCAATCATCCTAGGATAATATTGAAGGATATACATTATTGAATTGAGTATGGTGCCCATACATAAGTGGAGAGAAAAAAAGCAATCTACTGGAAATGCATAAGAAAATATTTTGACAATTCACAGAACCTCTTAACATTCTCTACCTCTCCCAAGGGTACTGAAGCACTCTGTATTGAAATTGACTAACATTAAGGTTAGAAATATACTCCTATGAATATCATAATATTCCTCTTGTCATATCATCTGGACTGTAATATTTAATATGTTGTTAGTCATAGCATCTCCTGACGATGCATATACATGAAACAGTTTTGCCCTCACCAATTGAACTCATACATATACGTATTCGAGAAGAGGAACACTAACATCGCCTTTCTTCTATGAAGCTAGGAATTTTATTATGCCATCATCACCAAGCAACACAAATAATGTGCATCTATTGTTGCAAACATCGAGATACTGAATACACATACATGAACATTATTAAATTTCTAGCAGCACTAAGCAGTGGCACCCGGTGTTTTGTTGCATTTCTGTATATTCATCCCTAAGGAAAATAGTGTAAGCCACAAACAATGTAACACGGCAATAACTTGGAATCAGCAGTGGAGCCTGATGGGTTGCATGCCTGAACTTGCAAAACACCACATGAAAAACACACACATGTTCACATGAGGCTCGATAAAAATAAATTTTTCGTTTGTACAGCAGGTCCACATGGACATCAATCGAAATAGGCTGTCAGTAGATATAATAATTTACAGGTTAAGAAATGGTGGGTAAAGCACTTTATAGGCTAATGTTACCTTCACATCATGATGCATCTTGGACGCCAATGCTGCGGTCTGTTTGATTGAGATGAGGAACCATGTATGTTTTATAGCCCTGCATCACAACAACAGAAACTACCTTTGCCAGCTTTGTGCAAGGTCATGTCAATATAGCATCTTTAATTATCCATGAAGATAACGAAATCAACCGAATGCAAGGAAATAACTCAACTTATTTGTAGAACTTTACCCACCTATGCAGACATTCCAATTTGTGAGACTAAGACATACAAATTGCGTCGTCCCATCAGTAGAGGAAGAAAATAGGGAACTTAAAAGCAGTATACGTATTTCTGAGGAGCGATCACTAACTGACTGTTGACACAAAAATGTGACAATGCATGCAACACACAGCAAACCGGAAAGATCTGCTTGGAGTAAGCCCGGAGATCCACTTGGCTTCAAACACAGGATCGGTCGGTTTCGAGACCGAAGGCGTGCCAATCAATTTGACCTTACAATTGACAAGGAGAGAATAATCAGTAGTTTAAGGTGGAACATGTCGGTGTTGCACCAGACAGTTCCAATATGTAGCCAGATAGCCGATGTACAAGGCTATCGACTAAAGAGTCGATATCCAACATGTCCATGAGTAAAAATATATTGAAATAGAAGCAATCGGCCATTGTGGAATGATGATAGCATGAGGATAATGACTGATATTCATAGACCATGATGATTTAATAAAGGCTAATCAACCAAAAACAAGTACAATTGTAAAAGCCTTTCGTAACCGATGTTCATAGATCTAGCATGGAAGCGTAATCTATCGGCTAAAATAGCCGATTCAGGTAGAAAAAAGATTATAGCATGTGAGCAATCGACTGTCTAGTACAAATTAATCTACAAACACTCTAAATCTAATCTGTTACCATCAACGGTGAGGTTCGACCGGATCGATACAGTTATGATAATGATAATAAACTAAAGCCAAAGAATCCATAAAACCATCTATATATATTGACAGGTTCATGAAAAATATGCTATACGTGTGAAAGCACAAGCAAATCGGCTAAAATAGCCGATGCATGCATAGCAAACAAACGAGTATATATCAACAAAGCCACTAATCGATAATCTCTAATCTAAAGTCTTACCAGTAAGGTTTGATCGGATCGATGCAGCTATGGTAGTGTCATTAGATTAGATCTCATTAACTAGTGAGTTTATTCAGGATTGAAACATGTCTTTGAATGCATACTATGTTTGACTGGAATATAGATAAAACAACCGATCTAGCAGAATTAAGCCATCGATTATAAGATTTGAAGCATGATCAGATCAGAGGACGACCAATTAAGATGATATGATGTCGATCTATCTCTATCTCAATCGGGTGATTTTGTTATGATTAATAGAACATTAATTATAGCAAAATCGGTAACTGGTAACTGGTGAATCAATCAAAAATAGCAAGGAAAATCTTACTAATCTTAGCAGATTCGATAACTGATGATATTGTATTAAACAACAAGTTATTTAACGCAAGATCAATAACTTTGATCTATATTATGATTCGTAAGAGATCAATTAGCTGATGCAGCCTTACAAATTATGATACAGATCGATAACTAACTTATATTATAACCCGTAAGAGATCAATCGGCTGATGCAGCCTTACAAGTAATAATACAAGTCGTAACGGTACTCACAGATAAGCCGAAGGTCGATCAGTCGATGCAGCCCTACTTATTGAAGAACTCGTTGAGATCTACATTACTCCTACTACTAAGGGTTAACGTGAAGCCGAAAAAGTAAAGACTAATTTTAATTGACTGTGGATATCCCTTACAATTTGCCGTGATCCTTTATTTTATAGGGTTGCTGGACTTTGCGTACAAAAATAGGACTCGGACGTCACGTATCTAACTTGCAAGGTGATCTGAATATAATATTCCTATTCTCATTCTGGATGCTTGCCGTACTTTATTTTTCTTTCTCTTCCTTGCACGTGAATTCTTTCAAGCTTCACGTATATACGTAGATATGTCATTTAAATTTCCTTGCGCAGCCCAGCTAAATAATATTAAAAACACTTCCTTTCCTAAATATTTAAGCCGGACTCTTCCTTTCCTATCTCCTTCTTGCTTCCTTTTCCATCCGGCCAGCTAGTCACGACTTTAGCCAAAACCATCGCAACCATATCTCTTTCAGAGCCTTTCTCTTGTTTATTTTGATTAACTTTGTTTACACAGGCCTTCACTTTCTTGTAGAAATCTATTTTATTTGGCCATGCATCGGCCAAACAAAGGCACATAGCTAGCTGCAGCACGAATACATTGCATGGCCCTGCACGCATATAGAAATACATGTATGGCAAACCTTCATTATTTCATCGGCAAGCTCCGATAGATATTCTTTTTCAATGGTTCTTTCAAGCAGGAATACGGAAATATAAGGCTCCATGGACAAAGGCCCTTATGGGTCCACATGTCATACATCAAATAATACGCAATAACAAATGACTACACCCTCTCCTCCGGGACACGCCTTCTCCTCTTTACGTATTCTTCACTCGGTTGTTGTGACAATCTGACGTCCGATCGAACGTGTGCTACCAGATCCGTACCGCAGGAGAGTCTTCTCTTCTCCCTCTCTCTGTTTTTTTTTTATCTGCTTTTCCTCTTCTCTTCGAGAGGCCACGTCGCGCCGCTGGCTTTCGCCCGTGGGACTTCCGCTGCCTGCCCATCGGCCCGCTCCTTTCTCTGGGTCTCCTCTCTCCGCATTGGCTCCTGGACGCGCCATGTCTACCGCGCACGGGCGCTACACCTACCTACGCTCTCTCAAGAGGCGGAACAGAGCCGACGTGTGCAAGCCTGCAGGGCAGGTAGCACGTCGCCGGGAGGGGAGAGCGCGAACAGTGGTCATGGAGACGCCATGGCCGCGGCGTGGTGCTGGTGGAAAGCGAGTGCCTGGAGCGGATCTTGCTGGGGGTGCGTTCTTCTGGCGCGCTGCCTGTGGCCGGAGCCCCAGAGCAGGTGCCGGCGTACCCTGTACTGGTGTGTACAGGCGAGGGCGTAAGGTGTTTGCGGAAATGCCGAAGCCAGCGCGAGCCTTCCTTCGCGCTGCCGGCGCCTCTCAGCTTGCCGTACGTACGTACCTTCTCTCACATTTGCAACAAATTATATAAACACCTATTGAAGCTGTTTATTGCTTGCGTCCAAACTCAGCTGTTTGCCTGATCACTATTACTTTACGTTGGCCTGTAAAGCTTATTTAAATATGCTTCGCATTGCACAACAGTATCTTCATGCCTTGTCATTTTCAATAGGTGAAAGAAATGGGGATTGTTTCGATGGTCTTTCCAAAATAATAGCTAGCTTTCGGAAACCATTAGCCAAGCAACATTGGAAAAATCGCCAGCCATAATCTCCAGCTCCACTATCCATGCAGCATTGGAGTTACAGGTAGCCATCATCTTTTGCATTCCGAATGTAGGAATCATTGACCAAATTAAAAGTCCTCTCTTCATCTTGGCTGCTGAACCACTGACTGCATTGCCATTGATCACCATGGCCACCGCACCTGAGGAATTCTTCGGCAAGGGTCTCATGGAGCAGTCACCACCATCCCCACCTGTCTTCCCCGACGACCTTCCCCAGAAGCCCAATGGCAGCAGCGAGAGCCAGCATCGTGTACCTAATGAGATGATGCTCTCTTACGTCTCACATGTTCTCATGGAGGACGATGATATTGATGATAAGCTCAATGATCACCCTGCGCTACTCCAGGTGCAGCAGCCCTTTGCTCAGATCCTGTCTTCCCCTTCCTCTGGCACTAACACTGGCAGCAGGGAGGGGTCCAATGATTTCTTGCATGAAGGCAATGTTGATGAAAGTGAGCTCAATTCAGCTTTATCCAAGGGCACGGATACTGTGGGGGCATTCTTGAAGGGCATGGAAGAGGCCAACGGGCTCTTGCCCAAAGACAACTTCAGAAGGGACGAGCTGGTGAATCAGATGGTCAGGGAAAGCAGCAGTCACAGCGTGGTCAAGAAGAGGCATAGCAGGGATGATCATCTACAAATGGAGATAAGAACCAGCAAAGCTATGACGGTGATCAAGGAGCCAGAGGAGTACTCGGCCAACGAGATGCTTGATGAAATGATGTTGCATGGCTACAAGGAATGCATCAGGGACATGGACAACCTCCGTGTCACCATGGACAATAATGAAGTGGAAAAGAAAAACAGGAATAGTGGTAGCAAGGAGACGAGGGACAACAATGTGGTGGACATACCCAGGTTGATGATCTCTTGTGCGCAGGAGGTCGCAGTGAACAATCACTTGAGGGCACGAGAGCTGCTGAAGCAGATCATGCAGCATGCATCAGAAACAGGGGACGCCACACAACGGCTGGCCCAATGTTTCACCAAGGGGCTAGAGGCACGGCTCGTGGGCACCGGGAGTCTGCTTTGGGAGTTGCCAATGGCAGAGCGACCTTCCGTTGTGGAGTTCAGCAAGGCCTCCAGCCTCTACTTCGAAGCCTGCTGCTTCAACAAGGTGGCACTTGTTTTATCTGAGATGACCATCATGCATGCCATGGTGGGTAAGAGCAGGCTACACATCGTTGATTATGGTATGCAGTTCGGATACCAATGGGCAGGCTTGCTCCACTCATTGGCGAGCAGAGAAGGTGACCCACCGGAGGTGAAGATCACAGCCACAGTGTAACACCCTTGTTTTGCATCATGGTAAAATTCACTAAAAATTTGAAATTTTTAAAATTTACAAAAAATTAAAACCCTAACTATTTATTTTCCGCAAAACCATTTTGAAAATATATTTTCGAAAACCCTGCATCAAAAATTCACCATATGCATTTGTGTGAAATGATTGTTTGAGTGTTTGTGTGTCTGAGATGTTTGCTTGTATGCTTGAATGTTTGCTTTTCTGGAATTTAATTGCAGCACCAAAATAACTTCCTTGAACTTTGGAACCCATTCTTTGAAATTAAAACAAACTCTTTAAAATTCTCTTTCTTTTATTTTCTGGAAAAACGGAAGGTACATCATAATTATAAAATATAAATCGATACACTTTCTTTATCTGGAAATTACTACAGAAATACCAAACTCATAAACATAGCCCTTTCTCTCATATTACGAAAGATAGAAAATATAACATCAATATATAACTCCCTCCCTCTGATTATTCGGAAGCTACATAAGAGGTCCCAAAAAAATCGTAATGAAATACAACACTCATAGATTACAAACGTATTACATAATTGATCTCCATACTCTAGAATATTTAGAAATACATCATGAATACAAAAATATTTGTATTACATTCTTAATTTCCCGAGAACTAGAAAATACATCCGATTAAAAGTACACAGCATGTCGGCCACATGTCGGCCACAGGAACTTGGTAGGGGTACACGGGATCGTACACAGCAGATTAAAAGTAAGCCTTTTTCATTTCAGAAAAATTCTTAGAAAAATTCAAAATAAACAAACTAGAGCCACCCTTGGACCTACCCAAAGCTTTTTCATCTCATTTTCATTACCATAATTTCTAGAAATAATTTCCAAGATATATTCCAAATACCTTTTCCTATTAAATCTTGGAAAATCAATACCTCCTTCGTCTTGAATCCAAATCCCTTAATTCTTCCACCAAAAATCTTCTAAAATCAAGCCCTATCCATTCATACCCTTTGCTCTATTATTTGGTCCCCATTTAAATTCTAGTTTGTTTATTTTTCCTTTCTTATTTTATTAACACTAACCCATAATAGCACCCATCACCATATATTCGCGTATGTGTGTACAACATACATACGCGAATATACCCACACACTATCACATACAATAGTATACCTACATGGATATACCTCGTGACACCTATACCCTGGCTATACGCCTATGTATGGCTAACCCCTACATCCCACTTTCCCATCATAATCCTAGGCATATACATATGCATGTGCGTATATGCCACTAACCCTAACCTAACCCTACGCCTCTGCGTAGCCTACACCCTCATGTATGTGTATATAAATGTATATACATGTACCTAACTAACCAAGCCTCTCATGTATACCAATACGTATACATGAACCAATCTAAATAACCTCGCTAAACCTCGGTGGACATGTAGGAGGCAGACAAGTCGTTTATGATGACTTGGTCAGGCTTTCTCTTCAGGTTCACATAACAATGAAACCTGATAATATGGTATGGTTTTCCATCAGACGATCACCCCACCTCAACTTAACCTGTAGAAAGCCACGTCTTATTGGATGAAATCCCTTCATCCAATCCTTACTTCAAATTGACATAATAATGATAACTTAGATATAGAAACCCACCATCCAAATAAGGCCAAACCATCTAGGACCGACCCCGTTGAATGATTGTGACTACTTGTATGTACTACTTGAAATGCTCTTTGTTTGCCAACGTTAGACAACGTAGATAGAGGACGATGGGATCCAGAAGTACAAGACCTAGGAGCAAGAAGTATGAGAATCAAAGTCTTGGAGTAAGGGTATACTCGCCAGCGAGCGGAGGCAAGTCCTAACACCCACCTACCCTATCCCCTCCACATAATCCACCATCTCATAATGATAACTTAGATATAGAAACTCACCAACCAAATAAGGCCTAACCATTTAGGACCGACCCCGTTGAATGATTGTGACTGCTTGTATGTACTACTTGAAATGCTCTTTGTTTGCCAACGTGAGACAATGTAGATAGAGGACGATGGGATCCAGAAGTACAAGACCTAGGAGCAAGAAGTATGAGAATCAAAGTCTTGGAGTAAGGGTATACTCGCCCACGAGAGGAGGCAAGTCCTAACACCCACCTACCTTATCCCCTCCACATAATCCACCATCTCTAAAACCACTTCCCTTCCTATCTCTCCACCATCACAGCAATTCATCATCTCCACCATACAACCTACTCCCTCCCACTTTCCATTAATTACCTAATAAACACAATTTATATTATCATTATCAATGTTGCTAATTGGATCACTGTTGTGAGCATATACGATATATGATGAATACTTGAGGAATAATATGAACTTTATGACATGGGCTAAGAACATGAATCGTGATGATAATTGAACTGGTAAACTAAAACCTATTTCCGACGGGAGCGAGTGGGGGTATTTCCACGTGGTGTGGATTAGCTTTGGCAGGTTCCCCTAGTGAGGGTTCCTGTTGGGAGATACTCGCTTCGGTCATATAAGGACCGGTTCGTTTGACATCTTGCCTAGCCAGATATCTCGTACAGCCACATGTCTATATGGGTAGACTTGATCCCACACCCCGTTAGATAGAAGTATAATTTCTACTAGGAGACTGGTGTTGGCAGCGGAATATCAGGAGAAGACCCAGTTGCTGAGTGATCTTCCGTGGTCCGGTTGGAGTGGTTGCTAAGTGATCCTCCACGTTAAGCCCCTTGATTTGGCCAAGTTCGAGCCCCTTTTATTGACCGGATGATGTGGTATCATCCAAATTATTGAAATAGATGATGTGGTATCATCTGAATTATTGATATGGATGATGTGGTATCATCCGAAGTTTTTCCAACCCCTGAGCCGTGGTAGAATTATATGGACATCTAAGGTCGCGTACTTTCGGGTACGGGGTCTCGTTAGGCCTGTTGCACCATTGGCCCTGGTGTTTACTACGCTTATCATGTGGGGAAATTTGTACAACCTCTGCACAGTGTATTGAATCTATTTGAATAGCCACGTCCTTAAAATGGGCAATTGCTGGGATGAGGTCACAAATGATTAGATGTTTTATAAAAGGAAATTGTGATAATCTGGTAAGTTGGAACCTATCAACCTAGTAAATACAACAAACCCCGAGAACTGGTGAGAAGGGTTAATACTCTCCCAGGGCCCGAACTTCTAAATTTACTTATAACTCTACTCCTAACATATACCACTCCGCCACCATAAACCACCTCCACCACTATATACCACCACCACATATAGCCTCCGCCATCCACTCCACCTTACCCTAAAGTTAGGGCTTGCTGAGTACTTTATGTACTCAATCCTTCCCATTCTATGTTTTTAGGAAGTAAGCTACGAGAGTATATACGAGGATGGAATTATCCAAGCTACGCAAGGAATAGGACAATAGAAGTGCACGCGAAGACGGAGCCGTACGACTACGCCAAAGGAACTACACTAGGATCAAGTCTAGGATTTACGTCCACAATCCAAGTTGCCTGTAGGAATGGAGCCACGACGACTTAGGACCATTGTGTTAGAACTCTGATATATATATATATATATATATCAAGGCCTATGGCCCAGCTATGTAAATATGAACTTTGTAATGTGTTTTCCCGCTAGCAATAAAAGTATGGTCTTTGATATCAATCTTGTTCGAATTGTGCGTATCAGCTACTGATCCAGGGACTGATACATAATGCACAAAGAACCCTAAGATAGGGGCCCGACACATAGGACTCCCCAAGCCTAAGTCCTACCCAACCGAGAACATTGAGAAAATAGGGTGCCGGCTCCCGCAGATCTGCCCATGAGTTTGGTCTGCCTTCGTTCAAGTTCCACACTATCAAGACAAATTGGGAGGATGCTTGCATTGAGGACCTGAACATAGAGGCCGATGAGGTGCTCGTCGTGAATGACCTCTTCAGTTTCAGCACCTTGATGGACGACAACATATCTTATGATGACCTAAGCCCTATCGTCCTCAATAACATCAGCAAGATGAGACCGCATGTGTTTATGCAGAGAGTCTATAATTGTTCGTATGGTTCGTCCTTCCTGTCACGGTTTCGAGAGATGCTGTTCTACTACATGGCACTATTTGACATATTCGATGCAACCATCCAAGGGAGAGTAAATCTCGAATGGTGCTAGAGCAGGTCATGCTTGGACGCTCTGCGCTGAATGCCCTCAGCTGCAAAGGCGCGAACCTGGTGGAACGCCCTGAGAGGTACAGGCAATGGCAGACGAGAAACCGACGGGCTGGCCTAAGGCAGCTGCCACTGAAGACAAGCATTGTAGAGGTCATGAAAGATATGGTCATGAAGCACTACCACAAGGACTTTCTGATCTCCCAGGATGGCCAATGGCTTTTGCAAGGATGGAGGGGGCGTGTCCACTTTGCCCACTCGACATGGGTTGCAGCAGATGTCTCTTCTAGAGGTTTAGGTTCTTCCAATTGCCCTGATAAGCCATGGCTGAAAGTACTTTTGGCTGATTTATTGTGAGAGAAAAATATTGTTCGTTGGCTAAAAAAGTACGGCTTATAAACTAAGCGAACAAGACGATTGCCTGTGATTGGTGAATTTGCTCACTCAGGCTACGACTGCTGGCATTTATGGTTGCATGTTGTTGTGGTTCTTTTTTATTTTGTGAAATGACCAGCAGAAGTGCTGCCCGACATGTATTAACAGAGAAAAAGCAATTCTTGTATTTTTGCATTTGTGGACTTACAGTAGGCACGATGCTACAGAAAGGTCTAGCACCGTTGATTCCGAAGGCTTTTTACTGGCCTTTTATTGGAACCTACAATACGCGAGTGCAAATAGAAATTGCCTTGAGTACCATTAGTTCCCCAACTGATGGAAATCAATCTGTGGTGTCAGTTCTTCTAAAACAGATGTTTCAACACCATTTGTAAAACATGCTGGTCAGAGGTCCCTTTCATGCTGTCTGTTTCGAGCAGAGCTCAATATAGGCACATAGCTGATCAGAGGCTCCTCGTCTTGTTGACAATATGGAAATGCTCTGCAGTGCAGCTGTTTGTTTAAATGCCACAGGAGGCGGTCAACTGTTCCTTGAGACGGTGCCAGGAAAATATAGTGAGCTCGAAGTGTTTGGGAAATGCAACAGCCTGCCAGAGCGACAGATGTTGCGTGAAGAGAAGAGATGCCTGGCAGTTTTTGTGTTAACACCCGGAAAGAAGAAAGGGGAGAAACTAAAGAGAGGTGGCTATTTGGGCCTAAAGGCCCATCAGCTAGAGCCCCACCCTAGCCGCCCCTATTCCCTCCCTCTCCCTGGCCGCACCCTCCTCTTCCTTCTCACAAAAATTTCCCCATGGACCTCCGGTTCTAGGGCCTAAATCAAGAAAGCACGGTTGGGGAACGGATCAAGGAGGAGGAGAGGAGCAGGAAGAGGTGTGGATTGGAGTTCCCCCCTTTCACCTTGTGGGATCTTCAAGGAAACCCTAGGTGAGACTTGATCTACTGTTTAGCACGTGTTTTACGGTTGTTTTTTATGCCTAAGGTCGTGGTGGAGAAGGGATTAGAGAAGGGTTTAAGGTGCTGTTTGCTGGTAAGCTTTTGTGAGGTTTTGATGGCTAGATGTCCAGATATCGCTGTTCAACTCTGCACAGCTCGAAATTCTGGGCAGATGCCGAAGGCTGTTTTCGAGTGCACATTAGAATGTGTTAATCACAGAATTAAATTATGGCTTCTAAACTAAAGTTGTAGTTTATTGTTTGATCTTTCTTTAGAGTGCTTATTTACTGTTTTTGGTTGGACGGTTTGAGAGATGTGTAATTTTGAAGTCAGCATCACGAATGCTGAAAACAGAACCTGTCGGTTACTGTCCGTGCAAGTTTATGCATAGTAGATGGCTGAATTAAATTTTGTGTTGTCTACAAAAGTTGTAGGTTTTTGAATGTAGATGTTTCTAAAGTATTTACTTGCTATCGTATCTATTGGGATGTTAATGTTACAAAAAAACAAGCAGCGCTGCTGCTGTTTACCAAGGTCTTGTGGTGTGGTTTTTTTATCGATGGTCGCTGTGAGGCGTAGGAGCGCTTTGTATATTATTTGTAAATGACCTTTGGGAGTGTATGTACTGAGTTATGTGTTGCAAAATAGGTGGTAGTGCTTCGGGACATCCGTAGTGCTTTTGATCTTCTTCGGAGTAAAAGGCAAGTGAATGTAGTGGTGGTTTGCTACCGTTTTTCCTCGTTATTTCTACCACCTACACTATAATGTTGAGAACCAATGTCTTAACTTCGAATAATTGAATCTTGTCATATTATTTATCCATCTTACGGAATTGGTGCACTTTTCTTTATATATGAATTTATTACTGTTCCATCATGGCGTATGTGGTTAATCCACATTCTTGGAGGAAGTTGTTGGATTATTATCGATGGTTTATATTGTTGAAGTACTGCATCATGCCATGAGCGCATTTTGCATCATTCTTATGCATTGGAAGTTATGTCATTGACCTATGGTCATGACCGTACCGGTACAGCATCTTGGGATGCAGCTCCATACCTTGTTGGGTATGCAGGCAGGAGACATTATGCATTGCATTCATAAAGAATAATGGAAGTGATATGTTGATGATTTAAGAAGCTTTGCCATCTATCTATTTAGTTTCAATTTAGGAGACAAGCATTTTACCTTATGTTTACTTCTTGTTTACATAAGCAGCTGCTATTTATATTAAATTGATGCTTAATGCAAACTGTGGCTTAAATGACTTGTCCAAAACAATTTGCTTGCTGAGATGTTTTCATCTCACCCTTGCTTTACTCTTTCCAGGTGTTTGATGATCTTTGAAGGGAAGGGGAAGTAGCAGCACGTTTCCACCTCACTGATAATAAAGATTTTTTTAGTGACAAACATAGTCATAATCTTGGTTATTAGAATCCTGTGTTTAATGCTTAAAGTGTGAGGAGGTTGTTAAACTTGCTCCTTTGGTTATCTCATAATTTGTGCTAGGATATTTCTTCTTTAATGCTAGTGTGATGTCTTTTATATTGTTTTTTATGTGGTTTAGCTTTTGCTAAATGTTTTTTTTTTCAAAAGAAGTGCTGCTGAACTTTTCCTTGTTTCAGCATGCTTGTTGTTTGTGGAGTTTTAGTGGCACCTCGGGGTGCTACATTTTGCTTTCCTCTGTCTCAGTCTCTGCTATGAACAGAATTTATACTCCATGTTGGAGTGATGGACTGATGAGCGCCTGTTTAGTTTGAACCCAAAATCCAAAAAAGTGCTACAGTATCCATCACATCGAATGTTTGCGGCCCGTGCATGAAGCATTAAATGTAGACGAAAAAAAACTAATTGCACAGTTTGGTGGGAAATTGCGAGACGAACGTTTTGAGCCTAATTAGTCCATGTTTGAATATTATTTATCAAATAAAAACGAAAGTGCTACAGTAGCCCAAAATTCCAACTTCCTACAACTAAACACGCGCTGATTCTGTCTTCATCTTCTAGAGTAGCCACGCGAGGCTTTGCTGGGAGTGCTTCAAAGGTGACAGACTAACAGCTCTGGGTTTCCTTGTTCAGGTAACACAATTCTTCTATGTCGGTCATTCTGGGCGTGTCACCAACTTCTCTAGCGTCTCCAGAATTTGGAGACTACAATGGTGTTCAACAGACCCTTCACTGGACCCCCCCCATGAGCACTCTGACAACGAATACCGTTTCTTAGTTTTCCAAACCCCAAGTACTACTAAGAATTTGACATGGTAATTGATACACACAACTAAATTTTAGAAAGCACGTCCAAGCTCAGATCACAGAATGTGTCAAGTTGGTGCTGTTGTGCACTAGTAATTCTGCCAAATATGAACCTACCATGTTGGAAGTTGTTACCATGCTTCACAACATCGAGGGCATACAGCAATAGAGAAGCAACAGTGGATTCTCATCCTCATATATAGTTTTGGAGGAACATATATAAAAATGACTTATAAACTGTCAACTAATGCTTTCCTTTTTTTTCTCGAACACAAGGGAGCTAGAGCTGCGTATATCATTATGTTAAGAAGAAAAAAATAGGATAAGACTACAAGAGCCCATACAAAACCACACAGAAACAAGAAACAGAAAAGACACGCCTTTTGACATACAAAGGAAACAATCCATACTAGAAATCAGTCCACATTCAGAACGAATGTTTTCCTGTACATGCAGTTACTGTTTTTCCGAGTCTTGTATGGAGATAATGATAATAAATGTGATAATAGTATTGTAAACACCACAGAGAGATCGTTGCAACAAATAAAATATCTTTTTCGTCGGTGCATGGCAGTGGGAAAACGGTTCCTTTCATGGCGTCTGTTTCCAGCAGAGCTCATTAGTCTCATAGCTGATCGGCGCTTACTCATTTTCTATACTAACTAATGTTGCATAGCTTAATAGTAGCTTCTTGAATATTGGCATTTCATGTCCGTGCTTCATTTTCTATCACATTTGCCAACAAATATATAAACACCTAACTAAGCTGTTTATTGCTGGCGTTCAAACTCTGCTCCTCTATTTCTCTGTTTTCCTGTTCACTATTACTTTTCGTTAGCTGTGAAGGCTTATTTAAATATGTTTTGCATCACACGACTGTATCTTCTTGCTTTGTCATTTTCACTAGCTAAAAGAAATGGGGCTTGTTATGATGATCTTTCCAAAATGTTATTTTGATGTGCCCAGTGTATAGCTAGCTTTTGCAACCATTATTCAAGCAGCATTGGGAATATCGTGAGCCATGGTCTCCATCCAAGCAGCATTGGAGTTAAGTCAGCCATCGTCTTTTGCACTCTGATTGTAGGCATGATTAACCAAAATTCTTATGTTCTTCTCATTATGATTTAAATTAACCAAAAGGGCTACCGCACTACCATTGATCACCATGGCCACCACACCGGAGGAATTCTTCATCAAGGATCTTATGGAGCAGCCACCAGCATCCCCACCTGTCTTCCTTGACCTTCCCCAAAAGCCCAATGTCAGCAATGAGGTCCAGCATCATGTCCCTAACAATGACATGATGCTCCCTTACATCTCAGGCATGCTCATGGAGGACGACATTGACGATGAGATCAGTGATCACCATGTGCTACTCCAGGTGCGGCAGCCCTTTGCTCAGATCCTCTCCTCCCCTTCCCTTGGCACTAACACCAACAACTGCGAGGGGCCCAACTAATTCTTGCATGAAGATCATGGTGATGAAAGCACCCTCAATTCGCCCTTATCCAAGGACACGTGTGGTGGGGGCATCCTTGAAGGGCATGGAAGAAGCCAACATGCTCCTGCCCAAAGACAACAACTTTAGAAGTGATGAGCTGGTGAATCAAATCAGGGAAAACAACATTATTGATAGTAGGGTCAAGAAAAGGTACAATAAGGATGACCTTCTAGAGGAGGTAAGAACTACCAACAAAGCTGTGATGATGATCAATGAGCTAGAGGAGAAATGTGGCAACGAGATGCTTGACAAAATGATGTTGCATGCTCATGAGACCTGCATCAAGGGCATGGAGCGTGTCACCATTGACACTACTGACGTGGAGAAGAGAAACAGGAATAGCGGGAGGATCAAAGTGGCGAGGGACAATGTGGTCGACATACACAGGTTGTTGATCTCTTGTGCGCAGGCTCTTACAGCGGACGATCACATGACAGCGCATGAGCTACTGAAGCAGATCAAGCAACATGCTTCAGCAACAGGGGACGCCACCCAACGGCTAGCTCATTGTTTCGCCAAGGGGCTAGAGGCACGGATACTGGACACAGGGAGCCAGCTTTGGCAGTTGCTTCTGTTAGAGTACCCCTCCGCCGTGGAGGTCCTTGAGGCCTACAGCCTTTACTCTGAAGCTTGCTGCTTCGTCAATGTGACATTCATTTTTTCAGCAACGACCATCATGCAGGCCATTGCAGGTAAGTGCAGGTTGCATATCGTGGACTATGGTACACGTTTCGGGTTTCAATGGGCTGGCTTGCTCCGCTTGCTGGCGAGTAAAGAAGGCAGAGGTGAAGATCACTGCCATAGCCCGTCCCACGCCTATTTGCTACCCAAGTGAGCAGATTGACAAAGTAGGCTGCCGATTAATGAAATGTGCCCATGAGCTTGGCTTGCCTTCATTCAAGTTCCATGCAATCATGGTTTATGAGGCGTCCCCTAGGCGTCGCCTAGACGTCGCCTAGGCGACAAGGCGTGGTAGAGGTGCTAGGCGTCGGGGTCGCCACGACCTCCACGGGTATGGCGTCCGCCTCATAGGATTAGGCGTCGGCGCGAATGGCGTCGGGCGGACGCCTCCAGCGACGTAGGGGACGCCGGATGCGATTTTGCAGGGAATGGATGGGAAATCAACCACGGGTGGGTGGGAAATCGAGCGCGCGTCCGCGCCAGAAGACCCGCGGCGGGAAGTGAGCGCATATATGCTCTTGCGCGGGAAATTTCCCGCTCGGTGGCATTTACTGCAGGTGCGGGCAGCTTCACGGGGAGAGAGGGAGAGGAAAAGAGAAGGCCGAGGGTGGGAACTCTTGGCGGCGGCGTCGTCGTCCTTGCATCTCCGCTTGCTGCTCGTCTGCTCGAGTCTAGCGGCTGCCCGCATCTCCCACGAGGCCACCCCTGCATCTCCGCCTGGCTGCGCAAGTCCACTAGCGGTCCGCACTTGCTCGCCCGTCTCCGTCGACTGGCCGGACCTGTACTCGTCGGCCGTCTGCAGCTGCTCGCCCGCCTCCGTCGACCGTCTGCCGTCAGCCTGGGCCTGGACGCTCCCTGCCTCCTCTCTGCTTCGAGTCGTCGTCACCATCCGCAGGTCCATCTTCACCACCTGTCCGTCCGCTTCGAGTCGCCGTCGGTAGGTCCATCCGCACCGCACTTGTCCGTTCGCCTCGTGTCTGCGCCTCCGCCTGGTATGTCCCCTGCCTCCTCTTTGTCTCTGGTCTCCCAAAGGCCAACTCCCAGGCGTGTACTCTTGTAGTGTTATCTGCTATTGGTGCTCTGCTTTTGCTCTAAATATAGTATGCCTCGTGCTCTGCTGCTCTGCTTTTGATCTGAATATTGTATGCCTCGTGCTCGGCTATTGATCTGAATATTGTATGCTCATGCTGCATGCCTGTCCCTGCCTCCTCCCTTGCTCTGAATATCTATTCTGCACTCTGCTCTGCTTTTGCTCATGGTGTGTGCCTGTATGTACTTTGCTCTGAGCCTCTGAATATTGTAAGATGAATTGCTGATGCCTGCTTTTTATATTATATTGGTTGTCACTCACATATACAAATGGCTGCTTGTGCTTGGGCTCAAGAATTGGCAACAAACGAGGTATGTATGTGCTGCACTAGTATATAAAATTCTAGCTTACAACGCCTTACAATGTGTGTATGGCGTCGCCTAGGCGTCCGCCACAAACGCCTTGGCGTTGTGAAGGGGGTCAGACGCCGCGCCTCGCCGCGGCGCCTCAAAAACAATGCACGCAATCACGAAAAACTGGGAGGATACTTCTATCATGGACTTGCAGAGAGACGCTGATGAGGTGCTGGTTGTGATTGACCTCTTTAGTTTCAGCATCTTGATGGAAGAGAGCATATTCTTTGATGCTCCAAGCCCTAGGGATACTGTCATCAATAACATCAAGAAGATGAGGCCAGATGTATTCATCCAGAATGTTATGAATCGTTCATACAGTTCCTCCTTTTTGTCACGGTTTCGAGAGATACTCTTCTATTACATAGCACTGTTTGACATGTTGGACGCAACCATCCCAAGGGAGAGTAAATCTCGATTGGTGTTCGAGAAAGACGCTGTGGGATGTTATGTGTTTAATGGCATTTCCTGTGAAAGCATGGACCTAGTGGAACGCCCTGAGAAATATAGACAATGGCAGACAAGAAACCAATGAGCAGGCCTAAGGCAGCTGCCACCGAAATCAAGCATTGTGAAGATAGTGAAAGACGTGGTCATGAAGCATTACCACAAAGATTTTATGATTTACCAGGATGGCCAATGGCTTCTCCGAGGATGGATGGGGCGGGTCCTCTCTGCCCACACGACATGGGTTGCAAACGAAGACGCCTCCTCTGGATGAAGCTGAATGATGTAGTATGGTGTTCAACAGATCTCTATTTTAGACCAAAGACCTTTTGCCCCCCTTACAAGATATGTTCTCTATCTAGAAACAAAATAAGTCTCAAATATGTTTGCTGGGATAGATCAGTCTCAAAAGTTTACTACCATATCTGTAATTCCCCGCGTCCAAAATCTACTAATATGGCTCAGCTCCTTATGTGGAATGGGCTTGCATACACGTAGCATCTCTCTTACACTTTCGTCCTTGCTTCGTGTAAAAGGGTTAATTCGGAGGTGCTATGTTTAGAACGACAAGGATTATAAGCTGGCCCTCACCCTCCTAAACCCACCAACCAAACTCCTCTTATGCTACATGGGCCAACTTCACAACCACTATAGGCTTCTAACGGGCGGGAGTGTTACGATATCAATCAGAGAAACACTCCCTCTAACCTTCCCTCTAAGCATTCGAAGCAAAGATAAAAGCGACAGAAAAGCATGGATGCAGCTAAGAAAGTTTGAACTATTTAGTATCCACATCATCTACATTTTGGGATGACAACTGCAGCATCAATCTCTCCGTCACCTTCATCACCCAATTTCAATTCGGAGTCGAGGAGGTGATGAGGACATAACTCCTTTGGATGCACCCACTGATCCTCCAACCATTATGAAAGACCCAATAACCCGAGCTCGACTGCGACAATTAAATTTAGAGGTGAGCTTGTTCTTAAGCGATCCTTTTTATAATTTTGAGAATGGATTGCTACCTAATGATGTTATATTGCTTAGGAACATTGGAGAGGGTCATGAAGTACATGGAGAAAGGAGTGGAGGCGGTGAAGACCAGCAAGGACGTCCAAGACAAGCCGGAAGCCTAGTCCAACTCAAGTTTGAGTCTGCATTGGCCTTCAGGACCAGCGAGCACTAAAACGGACGCCCAGGACGCATCCGGACTCTGTTTTCGACGATCCACATATGGATGGAAAGATAATTTCATAAGTTAACTAATGATTTTGGTTTGACATCCAAATTCCATCGGAGTCAGCGGGAATCGTCGAAACAAGTCAGCGTTCAGAATCTGTCAAGGTCTTGCGTCACCATCTTTTGGTCCGTTGGGCCATGTATCGTCTTAGAGCCCGTTAGGGGGGCGCGTCCAGGGGTGACGACCTTAAACTATATAATCAGTAGCCGCCGTCTACGTTAGGTTTTGGGTTTTGCTTTAGAATAATCTGTCTTCGAACAGTCACCGTCATCGGTTGTGAAACCCTAACTTCGAGTTCTTAATCATACATCTGCAGTTTGTCACTTTCAATTGAGCTACGTACTTTCGAATTCTTGCTTGTGTTCTTCGTTTCGCAGGCAGGGATTAGCCTTCTTGGTGAGGTCAACTGGATTAGTGACACGGTTGATAACCAGAGGAGTTGTGGTGCTAAGATTGCAGGGTTTGGGTCTTTTGATATGAAGCCGGATCGGTGTGTCGTGTTCCACCAAATCGATAGATAGTTATCTCTACCTAACGGAAGATCGGGAACCACGTCTCCATCAGGAGGTTCCATTTCTGCATAGAAATTAATGAACAGTGCACTATGACATCAGTAGAAGATATTGTTACGTTTCCAAAACAAGATCATTTCTTTGGAGCCATAAACTCCAAGCAATGTGGAGGTACACGTACATGTGGAACTGTGGATACAGGTGACTGGACAGTTTGCTCACTTAGAGCTATGCCGGGCTCGCATTCATGAATAAATGTCGTTTTAACATATTGTATTTGGGCACTCTGTGTGGACAACATGCTGTTGCCATTGTTGATGTCTTTGTGCATGACTGAGTTATCTCAAGTGACCAGCTGGTATTTTTGGTCATGTTTTTGATGAAGTCATGGTGTTCAGAGTTCAGAGATGAAGTACATATTGTACATGTAAAATAAATGCATTAGTTACCGGTTCCTCATGTACATGCTTGAGTGCTCAGTTTTGCTCCTGGACTTCCTGAAGGGAAAAAGATCACTTAGAAAAGAAAAGTTAAAGGACACCTCTTTAGGTAAAATATCATGTTGCAACGTTTCAAAAAATAATCACAAAAATCATGTATGTAGTCTCACAGCTGATCTGCACTTACTCATTTTGTATACTAACTAATTATTGGCATTTCATGTACGTGCTTCATTTTCTTTCACATTAGCAAACAATTATATAAACACCTAGCAAAGCTAGCTGTTTACTGCTTGCGTTCAAACTCTGCTCCTCTATTTCTCTGTTTTCTGTTCACTATTACTTTACGTTAGCCTGTGAAACCTTAGATATTTGAATATGTTTTGCATCACACGACTATATCTTCTTGCTTTGTCATTTTCACTAGGTAAAAGAAATAGGGCTTGTTACGATGATCTTTCCAAAATATTATTTTTGATGTGTCCTGTGTACGTATAGCTAGCTTTTGCAACCATTATCCAAGCAGCATTGGAAATATCGCTAGCCATCGTCTGCACCATCCAAGCAGCATCGGGGTTACAGCCAGCCATCGTCTTTTGCACTCCTGATGGTAGGAATCATTATGATGTGTATAAACCAAAAGGCTTCATCAAGGATCACCATGGCCACCACACGGGAGGAATTAGTCATCAACGATTATATGGAGCAGCCACCAGCATCCCCACCTGTCTTCCTTGACCTTCCCCAGAAGCCAAATGTCAGCAATGAGACCTGGAATCATGTCCCTAATAATGACATGATGCTCCCTTACATCTCACGCATGATCACGCTGCGCTACTCCAGGTGCAGCAGCCCTTTGCTCAGATCTTCTCCTCCCCTTCCGTTGCCACTAACACCAACATCAGCGAGGGGTCCAACGATTTCTTGCATGAAGACCATGGTGATGAAAGCACGCTCAATTCACCCTTATGCAAGGGTACTTATGTTGGGGCATCCTTAAAGGACATGGAAGAAGCCAACATGATCTTGCCCAAAGACAACGACATTAGAAGGGATGAGTTGGTGAATCAAATCAGTGAAAGCAACATTACTGTTAGTAGGGTGAAGAAAAGGCACAATAGGGATCACCTTATAGAGGAGCAGGTAAGAAGTACCAACAAAGCTGTGACAATCAGCAAGGAGCCAGAGGAGAAACATGTCAATGAGATGCTTGATGAAATGATGTTGCATGCCTATGAGACATGCATCAAGGGCATGGAGCGTGTCACCATGGACAATTATGACATGGATAAGAGAAATAGGAATAGCAAGAGGATCAAAGTAGCGAGGGGCGATGTGGTGGACATACATAGGTTGTTGATCTCTTGTGCGCAGGTAGTGGCTGCAGACAATCACATGAGAGCGCATGAGCTACCGAAACAAATCAAGCAACATGCTTCAACAACAGGTTATGCCACCCAACGGCTAGCTCATTGTTTCACCAAGAGGCTACAGGCACGAATAGCGGGCACAGGGAGCCAGATTTGGCAGTTGCTTATGTTAGAGCACCCCAAAGTTGTGGATTTCCTCAAGGCCTACAACCTTTACACTAAAGCTTGTTGCTTCCTCAACATGACATTTATGTTTTTTAATACATGGAGATGTACCCATGTGTGTATGATGAATGATTGACACAAGTGTGAGAGATTTGAGGCTTTCCCGGTTGAATCATATTTCATATGTGCTTGATTATGCAAATGGCTAACCAGAGGTGTTGTGTTGTATTGTGTGTGTTGTGCAACATGTCTCTTGGCTTGTGGTGCATAGGTGTGGAGCACAG